AGACCGGGAAAAGGTTGGACTCAGAAGTACATGGTGGCACTCGGAGGTACAGGTTGGAACTGTGATAAGGCCGGGGGTAGCCATAAGGGTGGTACTAAGGTATAAGGTTGGAACATAAACTTGTCATTATGTGATTGATGCATTTCCTTGCTTATGTGCATGTCTATGATGAACTCTACCTTGCGCATGGTAGGTTGCATCTAGAGTTGTGGTTATCGTTTGTTGTTGTGGGTCTTGATCCTTGCTGAGAGTGTGTTATGATTGATTGTTGTCTCGCCTCTTGGTTTTCAAATGCTATATATTGTATTCCTCAGTTCCAAATGGTTTGATCATACCTATGTGTGTGTGTGTATATATATATAAATATATATATATATATATATATATATATATATATATATATATATATATATATATATATATAGAGGATCATATGAGGTCATGTTCCCACATGAGGTCTAAGGTCAAAATCTGGCCTTTGATTCTGCGTTGATCTATGGTTGTTGTTTTTTCGGATTTTTATTTTGTCTTTATTTTTTCTTTTGCCGCGTGAGTGTGTAAGGGCTTTTTTGTCTTTGTATTTTTCTTTCCTATTTATTGGGTGTGTTTGCCGGCTAAGTTGCTCGTTTTAAGGAGTTTAATACATGGTAATTAAATATTGTGAGCGTTTATAATCTGATGTAGCGATCAACTTTATACACTTTCTAGTTTTTGTGATTTTTCCTTGCATCGTTTCATAATTATTCAATTTTTTCGTATTTCTCTGCTAGAAGGCTTGTGGATTCTCGAGGTTAGTGTTTTCGTTTGTTTCTTGTATATTTTAATTGAGCATCAGTTGGTATTTGGTTTGTGTATAAGTATGTGCCCATTTGTATGACATGCGTTTTAGGTGTTGTGGTTTGATGTTGTTTATGGAGTTTTAATTTTTATATTTCAGTCGTGGGTCTTGGATTAGTGATTGTTTATTTGGTTTGGTTTTATGTCATAGTTGTATTTGTGATTTTCGTTTTTTAATAAGTGCCATTGGCATATGTTTTTCGTTATAAATTGTTTTGCTAATTTATGCATTGCGGTATTTGTTTGACATTATGGCTTATGTGTCCTGGGTTTTTGTTCGCTGTTAGGATATTGCCCAGGTAGTTTGAGGATTTCGGTGTACATGATATTTTGCATTTTATATTGGTTTGAAGGTTTTTGTTTTGTGGGGGGTGGGTGGTTACTTCGTAAAGTGCATATTTTGGTATTTGATTTGTGCATGTTTTCGTTTTTTAATAAGTGCCATTGGCATATGTGTTTCGTTATAGATTGTTCTGCTAATTTATGGATTTCGGTGGTGGTCTGACTACATGGCTTGTGTGTGCTGGGTTTTTGTTCGCTGTTAGGATATTATGTTGTTAGTTTTGTGCATTTCGGTGTACATGGCATTTGCATTTTATATTGGTTTTGAAGGTTTTTGGTTTGGTGGGGGTAGGGGTTTACTTCGTAAAGTGCATGCTTTGTTATTTGATATGTGCAAGCAGCGTGTTTTTTTTTTTTTTTTTTGGAATGTTGTGCATGTCGATTTTATTTGACTGGTTTTGTGTTTGTGTGTATATTTCTGTTTGATGTTTGTGCAGTACGGTCGGAATCGCTGCAATGGTGTGTTATGGACGTGTCCCCCGATGGGACTAAGTTTTTGATGCCTTCGTGTGATGAGGCGGTTAGGCCTTTTGAGGGGCTGACCCTATTGCGAAGGAAAATTTTTCAGCTTTTGGAGATGTGGTGTCGTTTGATGCAACTTATGGGACTAATAGGTCAAGTTGATGTTCGTCCTCCTCCAATCTCTAATAACAAGGGTGGTGGTAAACGTTACAAAAATACAAGGGAATTAGCTATTGAAAAGTCGGGTCGTCGCCGTCGCCAACGCCAATGCCAAACTTGTGAAAAGTATGGGCATAATAGTCGTACCTGCCCGATGCGCAACGTTGATGTATGACGAAGGGGGTCGTATTGCTCTTTGGATTAAATTAAATTTAAACACATTGCTATGTTTTTTACTTCACTAATGACTTGGTTTTATTCGGCATTTGGTGGTGGGTTTCAATAATGGATTTATTGTGTCTTGTTATTTGGATTTTGTGTTTCTATGCCGTGGAATAATTTTATATTATCCGTTTTTTATATAAGTTGGTCGTGGTATTATTTCATTCCTTTTTCTCCTATTCCGAAACCACCCCCTACTTGCACAGTATAGGTTACTGCCGTTGCACATGGTCTCTGGAATTTTGTGCGAATTTGCGCGAATCCCTCCTTCGATGTTGCACAAATATCCATATGTCTTGTAACCGACTATACACGTTTGTTGTTTTTTTATTTTGCTTCCTCTCTTGGTTAACACCCGCCTAATGAACGGTTTATGTTAGGTACTGGGATATTATATCTGTTTTTGAGTGGTGTCTTGCACATTCGGTCACTTTGATGTACCATATTATTTTGACTAAAGGGTGTCATGCAAACATGCCTGTTATTAAATCTTCAATGTTAAGTTGCTTTATTTCCGGTGCACCGACCACTCACCTACCGAGTGTCATGCAGCACATCCCACTTGCACACTACTGTTCGTTGTCGGTGCACAAGGTGACTGGATTTTTGTGCACTTCTGCACGTATGCTTCCATCAATGTTGCACAACAATTCATATGTACTATAGATGACTATACGCGTTTGTCTGCTTTATTTTTTATTCCCCTTTTTGTTAACTTCCCCCCAACGCACAGTTTAGGTTAGGTGTGTCATTCAGTTCCTTTGATTTACCATATTATTTCGAATAACGGGTGTCTTGCGAACATGCATTTTAATATAACTTCAAAGTTAAGTTGGTTTATTACCGTCGCGGGGATGCCCCCTACCGTGTGGCATTTTATATTTCTGTTTGGGTGCACATCACCTGAACGTGTCTTAATCTATTTAGCGTTCTACGGGTTATTATTTGTTGCCATTTATCATTGCATTCATACAGTAGCCGGCGATGCACATACTGATTCATCCAGATGTAACGCCTTTGCACACTGGTGTACTCTACTACAAATTGGCTCAGAATAATAACACAAACAGGCAGAAAAACATCATCCCTACCTCTCATTATATACTCTTTACACTGCATAAGTTTTATAAACCCCTTTCATCACAGTTTCAAAAACAACCAATTTCATACAATTCACAACACGTTTTTGATTTGTGCATTATAACATACCACCACCGTGCTTCTACACAAACGGGCAACTAAACAACCATGTTTTCCACTGATGGTAGTCGTAAAAAAAAAAAACAGAAAACATAAAAAAAAAAAAAACAGAACAACCATCGTCTATCGTACAGAGGTTCTCACCGGAAACTACACAATAATATACCCCTATTCATGTTTATTTCTCCCCAACCCTGCCGGTATTTCAGATTCCGACTGAATCGCCGACTTCAACAACTACACGCACAGTGTTTTTTTCCCCAAATCAAACCCACCATTCTCTGGTTCCCTAACTCATAATCAACTAACACATACATGCAATTGCATTTTGCACTCAATCGCTCCTAAAAAATCAGAGTGTTTAAAAAAAAACACAAAAAAAAAAAAAAAAAAAAAAAAACAAAACTTACGCAGTCTGCTCGTTGCGTCGATCGACGCACGCCAGGTGCTCCGCCTTGGGGTTCCGTAAGCCATTGATTCCGTTGTTGAAGTCGCCGGTCGGAGTTCGTGTTTAGCGCTGTCGGTTCGTCTGCTCCAAGTCTCTCCAGTGTGCAAAACCGTCAGTCTCCTTATTATTAGCAACTTTGAACCCTACACTGTCAAGACCCGTAAACAAAGGGATTTCCTTCTTTGTCTTGCACAATTAACAGTATAATTACTTGTTTACCCCCAACTTAATTACATATTAAGTAACAAGGCAGCGTACGTTGCGTTTGAATTCCATCTAGCCATCATTTTTGGGCCGTTAGATCGTCTCATCTTAGGGTGGGATTTTGACCTCAAACCTCACCTAACACATAAACCTCACTAGAACCCCACCCTATATGTATATATATATATATATATATATATATATATATATATATATATATATATATATATATATATATATATATATATATATATATATATATATATATATATATATATATATATATATATATATATATATATATATATTGATACTTAACGCGTATTGGTGGGTTACCAGCTTTATTCACTGACCGGGTGTCATCCCTTGTCTTTTACAGGTTTTGAGTTGATGACGAGCGCGCTAGTGAAGACTCTTAGCTAGTGTAGCTTTACCTTTCCCTTAGTTGTTGCTTGGCCTGTGAGCCGTAGACTCTGAATGTTGGTTTAGTGTTTATGTTTCGCCTGTGCCTCTTTAGTACTTTAAGATGTGGCATAACATCCCCGTTTAGACTTGCTTCCGCTTAATGTTTAATGAATGATTAGCTTGCTTATCTTGCATTTTAAGTTTTAAAAATGTTGGTAAAATCGGGGGTGTAACACGCATGTTCCTAACTTAGAATAAATGCGTATAATACTGTTTTATTTAAAATAATTACTAAACACGTCTATTTATTGTCAGAAACAAATGCATATAATATCATGACAATGCTTGTCTTAATCCTACAGATCTCCTCTGCATAAGTTAATTACAACGACTTAAATAATCACTTAGAACTAGTGTTTCTTATTGATTACATTCTACGAATTTAAAAGACTAATAATTAAATTATCTAAAAAAAGTATCTTTTATTTCATCATAATTCATAAACAAACTTGATAGTACTTTCTTCTTCCATCCACATAATTTCCCACACTATTGCAATACATGTTTATTTATTTAAAATTATATAATATTAATAGTATGAACAAAATATTCATTTAACTATATTTATAGTTGGGAAGTTACTTGATTAGGTGTGAGAGCAAGAATTTGAGGATGTGAGATGCAAAAACAAGAAAATATTTGTGACGATTTGAAATTTAAGAAAATGGGCAGTACTGGAAAATTGAAAATACAGAAACCCTAGTCCTACTTTTATCAGCTCTCCTCTCGTCGTCTATGCCGCTATCGACTCTCAGCACATTCCGTGCTGAGTTCATTCTCTGTTCGTTCTCAGGTTCTCTCCCCTCTCTATAGATACATATCTTTATTTCGTCTCATGATTATGTGGTTTTACGGCTCCGTAGTATTTACTTCTTGCGGAGATTTACATGTGTGTATGCATCGATTTTCTCAGTAATCTATTTTCGGTTGATAGTTGATTTACTACTGATCTTTGCTCTTTGTTTCTTTATATTGCATTAATATTTGTATGAGCTAAGACCTTTTACTATTTTTTTTTCTTTTTGGTTTTAAATTCTTTTTTTTTAATAGTTCAGGAATTCTAGAATAGTTATTCGATTAGAAGGGTTTTGGGTGGATATGAAAACCACCATTGTTTTAGAATAAAGGGTAGTTTTCATTATTAGTTGAAACAATGCTTTAATTCCGAGTTAGGGTTTGGTGTAGTGAAAAGAATGCACTAGACTAGATGGGAGGTAAGATCCTTGTTAGCATTCAAGGGATTGGTTTTTTATTCATGAGTTTTGTTGGTCAACATAGCATGCTTCAAAATATCAAAATTGAGTATGAATTCAGTTTCTTATTATGAGTAGCTGTAAGCTTTGGTGGTCTATTTCACTTGAGTTCAGACACATCTAATGCTACTTGTGGATGCTTGTTTTTTCCTTTTAGTGCTTACTTGAATTTGTAAGATGAGTAAGAAGAAAGTGCTGGTGTTCTTGGATGTATGTATTGATGGTGATCCCTTTGAAAGGATGGTTTTTGAGGTATGTGGTATAGAAAGGCTGAGGCTTTTATTTTTAATTTTTGAATAATTTCAAAACTTTATTTGGGACAAAAAACTTGATCAACTGTCATCTTGTTGATTCTTGCAGCTTTTCACTGATGTTGCTCCAAAGACTGCAGAAAATTTCCGTGCACTTTGTACAGGTGAATAGATGTATAATAGATTATGCTAGGAGAATTTTCTTTTCACATTTATGAGAACAGATTCTTCTCAGTTATTGACGATGAAATAACATGCCTATCTTAATGCTTTATGATTTGATGTACTTTCCTTATAGATGGTGGTTGCTTTTCTCAAATAAGTACAAGGCCATATTGTTATATATGAAGTTGTTGGTTTTCAGGTGAAAAAGGAACCAGCCCCAAGACTGGAGCAACGTTGCACTACAAAGGAACCTTTTTCCACCATATTGTAAAGGGATCCATGGCTCAAGTATGGTCTTTGCCTCTATGTTCTAAAGTCTTTCTTTTCATAGTAGTTTGATATTTCCAGTTGCATGAATCCCAACGTTGGTTGAGCATGGTTTAGAGGTGGTCTTTCCCTTTTAGTCAGATATATCCTTGTTTATGCTGTAGGATGCAGGGATGATGATCGCAACTGCTTTTCTTGTGATGTAGTTTTAAGGTTGTACTTGCTGAGTTGCTCATCCTTGGAATTAATGAATTTCAGTGTACTCAAGCCAGACTTTTACATAGACTTTATTTTATAATAATCTTAATTAACCATCTTTTTTTGCCCTTTCCTCTCCAGGCTGGAGACTTGCTCAGGGAAGATGGTATGGTTATTTATTTTTTTATGGACTATGGATTTGTTTTAGTGTTGCTAGTATGAGAAATACATTGCTATTGTTTAGCTTCATTTTTGGTAATAATAACTTGATTGTTAAATCACACAGTTTGATGGTCACTTATGTTGCTATGTCTGATGGTGGATACCTGGGTTACACCCAAAAAAATTATTGCATGGTTGGGCTAAAGTGTAGTGTGGTGAAATGAAAACTTATACATCACCAAATATGACTGCAGGAAATTTTGTAGAATTATAGAAATGCTCTTTTGTTAGCTTCACCAATGATATTTATGTATCATATATAACTTGAGTATGATTAATGAAGTATCATGCTCAAAGGACAACTGATTGTTTTTGTAACTGAGATGTAATTTGCTGCTTCACAGGGAACTTTGGAGAAAGTATATATGGTGGGAAGTTCCCAGGTGAGAATTTTGTTTTGTTCTCATCATCAATTTTGTTTTGAAATATGTTGTGACCCATGCCTTGTCTAGATGATAATTATCTGATAAATCATTCTCTAGATGTCCTATTCCAGTATTAGTAGTTAACTTGATCCAATGAAAAAAAATATTACTTTTAGCAAGAAATCAATTTTTTTAAAGATCAAATGGATTTCCTTTTGCATTGACTATGAAGGTTGAGGCTGATTTGATCTAATTCTCAAGCATGGGAGCTTCAATGCTATTGGACATTTGTTTCCTCTCTTATAATGGTAGGGAATATGAGTGCTATGTCTGTCTGTCTACATGTGCCTAGTAGATATTGATTTTCAAAATAGATTTTTTTGGAGTCTATATTGATTGCAGTCTGTCTGTGTTTTTTCTTAGAGTTATATGACCAAATTCCTCATAGTTAGGTTGCTATCTTTTGTTGAATGTATCTATTAACTGCACTTCTGAGGTAAAGGCAAGTATTATACAAGTATCCAACATGCAAACACATTTGTTGCTCATTCCCACTATTGCTCACTTAATATTCACAAATGCAAACACATTTGTTGCTTATGATCAGTCTGCATTTATTCATTCTCATTTCTAGATTGTGTTTCCACAATTTACAATTAATCTATTTTATTTCAAGTGCCTATTTAGAGAAGGCAAATTTCCCTCATGCAATTAATAATTTTAGTATGTATTGCAGGATTAAGTGTAGTTCTTTCTCCACTGATGATCACTCTCTTTTTCAATCTGAATGGTTTTTGTTTGTTCAGCAACAAATTATACAATTAAAGTTAAAAAGTTTAAATTTCAAAAAGAGTAACAGGTGAAAGTTGTGGAATTTTTCAGATGAGTTACCAAAGCTGAAACATGATAGCCCTGGTCTTCTATCTATGGCGATTGCTGATCGTGATATACGTGGCTCTCTATTCATGGTCACTTTTAATGCTCTTCATCATCTTGACAGGTTTAGCAAAGTTTTTGCTGCACTTGAACATGCTAGCTAGAAACTCTTGTTATTATGTCTGCTCTAGTAATTTAATAACATCTTTCTTGCTATTATGAATTTATGATTCCTCAAGCAATTACTTTCTAACATTTGTTAACAGGAAATCAGTTGTATTTGGCAAGCTTGTTCATGGCCATGAAGTCCTTAAGAAGATTGAAAATGTTGGAAATGAAGTGGGGAAGCCAGATGTTACTGTCAAGATAGTAAACTCTGGTGAATTACATGAAGGTAAGAATTGGTGCCTTTAGTTACATTTTCTCTGCCATGAAATTTTATTTTTGAACAAGGTAACTATGGTTCTATTAAATACATTTCTTGTGATTTTTTAAAATATACTAGTTTAATCTTTTTTATTTGTCATGAAGGTCGACATAAAGGAAAACACAAAAAAACTTCAAAGGAGAGAAGGAGAAAAAGGAGACGCTATTATACTTCAGACTCGGATAGTTCTACAGATTCCGAAACAGAGTCTTCTGAGTCTGATAGTGATTCTGACTCATACATATCCTCATCAACTGACACCAGTTCATCCAGTGATGACAGACGTAGGAAGAGGAAGAGATCTAAGAGGGAGAAGAATAGACGTGGAAAAAGAAGGGATAGGCGACGTGAAAGAAGGCGTAAGAAGCGTGATAAGAAGCTAAAGCGCAGACCAAGAAAGTAATGATTACGGAAGCTATATATTTGTGTTATATTTCTTCTAAAGCATATTGGAAATTTGCCATTTCCAATTTATTCTTTTCTTGATGTCACTCAATAAACTGAATCACTAAAACTCACAAACCAGATGAAACGCATACAAACCTGGGGTTGCTATATAATAATTATGGATGCTATATATTTATGTTATATTTCTTCTAAAGCATATTGTACATTTGCCATTCCAATTTATTCTTTTCTTGATGTCATTATTCAAGAAACTGAATCTGTTCAATGTCATCTCAGTTCCTCAGATGATAGTCTTTCTGAAGGTGATAGCGGAAGTAGTTCTGAAGAAGGTGATGCTAAAACTCACGAACCAGATGGAAAGCATACAAACCTGGGGAAGATACCTGGTATTTAACCTCTTCCCTGTTAAATTATCTATATTTGCCTATTAATTGGTGACACGTGACTAAATTGGTGGATAATAAAAAGTAGGTACTCTAAATACAAGAGTGTATTTGGGCCTTACAATCACTGAACCTATGATGTAGCTGCATGGAACTGTGCCACTCATGTCTGATAGATCATTGTAGATGTTGTTTGAATGATTTTTACTATGGCCTTGCAGTAGTGTCTGTAATGGGTCCTTGACATGATAAATGTTTTTACAGTGGTGTCTAAAGTTTTTCATCTATTCTAATTTCATGGGCATTTTTACAATGGAGTTAATTTGTTGACCTCTGCAGATGGAAATCAATCTCATCATGTTGAAGAAAGGGAAGCTGTACCTGTACACCAGATGAAAGGAGAGGCTATGGGATCCCGTGAAAGGGAAGAGGATGAATTCCCAAAAGAAAATGGTGGGCATAAAAACAATGATTTAATGCAGAATAAATCTGATAAGAGTCCAGTTAGACAACCTGATGTGGTAGACAATAGCCCAAGCAAATCTAGGTTTACTTCCATTCTTCTTGCACCTCTGTTATTTTATGCTTACAGATCCTTCTGCAACGGGTATTTTATTAAAAGTTGATGAGCAGGAGCAGAAGCCTGAGTCCTAAAAGGACCTTGAATAAGAGCATGAGCATTAGTCCAAGGAGTTTTAGCAGGAACCAAAGTGATAGCCCAAGACGCAGTGTAAGCAGGAGTGCAAGTGTCAATGCAAGCCCACGTCGTGTCTCAGATCGCAGTAGCAGCCCAGTGAAACGTGGAAACAGGAATCCAACTAGAAGTGTCAGTGGAAGCCCTGCAACAGGCAAAAGAGGCAGAAGTGTTAGCGAGAGCCCTTCTCCCATAACCAATTTCCGTAAGGGCAGAAACCGAAGTCCTTCACCAAGAAGGCTTAACGGCAGCCCACCAAGAACCTCATCTAAGAAATCTTGGAAGTCAGCAAGTAGAAGTCCAGTTAGATCTTCTAGGATCCCAAGCAGAAGTCCTGTTAGGAGTTCTCGAAGGAGCCTGAGCAGAAGTCCTGTTAGATCTTCTCGAAGGAGCATGAGCAGAAGTCCTGTTAGATCTTCTCGAAGGAGTGTGAGTAGAAGTCCTGTTAGATCTTCTCGAAGGAGTGTGAGCAGAAGTCCTGTTAGATCTTCTCGAAGGAGTGTGAGCAGAAGCCCTGTTAGATCATCTCGAAGGAGCGTGAGCAGAAGCCCTGTTAGATCATCTCGAAGGAGTGTGAGCAGAAGCCCTGTTAGATCTTCTCGGAGGAGTGTGAGCAGAAGTTCAGGTAGGGTTCCTTCTAGAAGAGGTCCTAGTCGAAGCCCAGTTAGGGCACCTTACAGACGGAGCCTTCGTAGCCATTCAAGAAGTCCCGGAAGTACAGGTCGCAGAGAGAGGTCACCAATATCTGATCGTGGTAGGAGCTCTTCCAAAAGTCCTTCTGGTGATGGATCTCCTAAACGCATAAGAAGGGGTAGAGGCTTCAGTGAGCAATACTCATTTGTTCGAAGATATAGGAGTCGATCACCTGTGAGATCATACCGCTATGGTCGCAGTGACCGTGACAGGTATTTTAGGGTGCTTTCAAGCGTGGATTTGTTTCATATACCTTTGTTCATGTACTGATTTTCTCTCTTTCTTTTCTCTTCTTTTGTTTCTTGAATGCTGGTGTCTATAGATATTCAAGTTACAGAAGGTCACCAAGGCGCTACAGGAGTCCACCAAGAGGAAGAACACCCCCTAGGTCTGAAAATTGCTGACAGTTTTCCTTGTTTCCTTAATTTTTCACTGTTGACTATTAGAAGTTAGAATGGGAGGGGTGGGGCAGTGATTGATGGATGCACATTGTTATTAAATTTCTATATAGCAATACAAATCATGTGCAATGCTTGTGGAGAATAATAATAATAATAATAATTTTTATTCTCTTTTATGTCCTCTCCGCAGATTCAGGAATGGGAGAAGCAGGTCTCGTAGTATATCACGTAGCCCAATACGTTACCGTGGCCGCCGTTATAGCCGGAGTCCTATTCGTAGTCGCTCTCCCACGGGGAGGTTCCGTGCTTCACCACGTCCACGTGTTGAGAGACGAAGGTCCCCTAGGAGCAGGAGCAGGAGCGTATCAAAATCAAGGTCATCTAGTGGATCACAGACACCTAGGCAGAAAAGCAAGGAAAAGTCAACATCGCGCTCTAGGAGCCCCCCCGCAAAGGGTGGCTTGGTTTCTTATGGAGATGGCTCTCCTGACTCGAGTAGAGATTAAAACGTAACAGGCCGATGACATTCCCATCTTCGGGTACTTATTAGTCTTTATACTAAAGCATTTCGAATGTCAGAATGTTGTTGAACTTGTTAAGTTGGTGTGGTTTAGTAACTTATGTGCTAGAATAATTCAGATACATTAATTATGTTTGTAGTAAATTAAATGCAGCAGACTTTGAGGCTCTTAGGAATTATGAAATTAATGGGTAAATTGTGGACCTCCCTAACTCCTGAGTTGTGTGGTATTTTTCTATTCTCTATTATTTCTTTAGTTATATTTTTTGCCATAAAGTGGTTTGTTTAGTGCAATGTGATTTGATAGTCACTTTTTTCGGATAAATCAAAAAAAAAAAAAAAACAAAAATAGTCACCTTGTCTTATTGTTCATGTCTTGACAATGGTAGCATGTATGATGTTCATCTGACAAATTAAAAATCCATTTTGGCATAGGATAATAATTAAGATTGTTGTGATTAAACATTAAATACTTCATTTTTACAAATTATAAATGAAAGTAAACTCTATAGGGAAAATTGCATTTTTCATCATTGAAAGTGTTAGTCATGTTCACTTTTTGTTCATAAGTTATTATTGACATTATACTTTTCGTACTCTCTTTTTGTCCCCAAGGTATACTAACGTTGTTACTTTCGTCTATAATATTTTGTTAGTAAAAGACTGAAAAATGGATAGTTTAGGGACGAGAAATGAGCGAGCATGATGAATAATATAATTAGGGACAAATTTTTAAAATTATTGTACAATTTAAGGATGACAATTGCAATTTTGGGTATTATATATTAGTTTGTTTTGCATAATTAAAATGGTTTACACGTACGTACGTACGTAATGATATATAGTTTTAATTTGATAGATAGATATAACATACAGCAGAATATGATGATGTCCCTTTATTTATTGTATATATATAGTAGGGGGTGGATAACAATTATTTATGAGATAGATCCTCAAGTCCATCCTTGTCCCGCGGGCCTAGCTAGCTGGATGGTATGTCTCATTTCATGTAGGGAATAATATACATCCTAATTTCAGGAGGTGTTATTACAAGGTGCTGTCCAGGACACGAGAAGAACTTAACTTTTCCGGCTTTATCCAATGTTTTAAACCCGAAGGTGTCCTTTTGGTAAAGATCAGTCTGCAATATAATTAATGTAATGCAACAAATTAAAAAGATATGATGTAGCTTAATTTCAACTAAAAAATATTAAAAGTTTATAGTATCTAGAAAGCTACCTGCTGTACAGGCACGGCTCTAGAGAAATCTCCGTTTGGATAATAGCCGAAGTGGGAACTTATTTGTGGCAAGATAATTGTGTCGGCTCTAAACTGCATGCGGATGGACATTATATTATATATATTAAACCAAACATACATGTAATATGTAATTATATATATATATATATATATATATATATATATATATATATATATATATATATATATATATAGAAATGGGTTCCCGTGCTCATCAGGTGTAGTTGCGTGATTTTTCTTCTTTAAGGTGCGTAGTTTATATGCTTAAAGGTATGTGAGTTGTTAAAACTTAAAGGTGTGTCATTTTAAAAATTTAAGTGCATGGTTTGTGTATTTAAGGTGCGTCGGCTTAAAGTTTTAGGTGATCTTGAAGCTAAGTGCTTTGTTTGTGCACTTAAGTTACGTGATTTGTGTACTTAAGATGCGTCATTTTAATGCTTAAGGAGCGTCTATGCACCTGAACCCTTCCGTATACACATATATATAAATATATAATAAATATATATACCAAGATAAGAACAAGCATTGTGAGGCTGGAGAATCTTCTCTTGCGTTCTGCACTTTGGGCATCTTGGATTTCGTTGTTTATATATGGCAGAAATTTGGATTGTGCCAAGTAACCCTTCATATCCTACACATGCATATATATATATATATGCATGCAAGGCCGGTAAAAATAAACCAAATGGAAAACATTACATTATATTGTCATCCAATACCACATACAGAAGATCAGAACACTAATAATTTACGAAACGTATAAATTAATTTACGAAAGTAGTTATGCTGTAAAATTAATTTTGATATTTTTCTTGTCTTACTTACAGTGGGAATCTTGATATAGCCAGCAGGACCAAAATGTTTCTGCCATGCACCATTAAATTAAATTTCAAGGTATATAGTAAGCTAGCTACACATACACTGCTATCCCATCCCAATAACCCAAATTAAATCAAGCTAAGGAATAATATAATATAATATAATATAATATTCGAGCTGTCAGAAAATATGTGTATATTGAATTTATGTAATTATATTATTACTTGAGCCATGGGGTTGTATACTCCCATTCCATAATAATGACCCATTAAACCACACCAGGGAAATTTCTGCAAAAAAAAAAAAAAAGAGAAAACAAGTGTTTTTTTTTTTATTTTTTTATTTTTTATTTTTTATCTTAGCTTGCAAATTAAATGTGTGGTAGATAGATAGCTTACTCCGCAAGGAATAGTTGAAGAATGACCTGCATTTGGGCCTCCCACCGAGATGAAACTCTTCACCTGTTTTTATTTTATATATCATTCATGTAATGTTGCGTTAGTTGAGCCATATATATATATATATATATATATATATATATGTAAAAAGCATATATAAACATACGTACAGGCGGACCGTCACAGTTCTCAATCACTCCTCTCCCAACCATGTTGCCCTGCGCGCATTATATATGTAATTAAACCAATTATATATATATATATATATATATATATATATATATACTTGTGTGAAGTCTCATCGGTCTCAATTAATCCGGTGAGACGGGTCGGGATCTTTTATTAATAGGTTGGATCTTTGACCAATTAATTAAAGATTCGACCCGTTTCACGGATTGAGATCCATGAGACCAGTCTCACACAAGTTTTTGTATATATATATATATATATATGGTCCCGTTCAGGGGTGAATCAGACTTTCCATGCCAATTTTCCAACTGCAGTACTATGTAGTATAAGAATGCACAACACCTATTCTAGCTTTGTGATTACTACACGGATGGAAAGTCTGATTACTGTGTGTTCATGTAGAGCTTATCATGCATCACTGAAGAAGTGGTATTTGAACGCTATGTACATATATATATTGTCAACTATATATGAAACAGTATTTGCATTATTAATGTGATCACCTGGGAGAGAGAAACCATGTGGTAACCACCCTTTAGTTCTCCCATCCTGGTGATCTGCGCATGCATGCAATTCAATTTAATTATACACTACACTGAGCCCTCCCTCAGAAACTATATATGCAATGTTTACATAAATTTAAAAAGAAAAAAGGCCTTTCATCACCTTCCGACAAGCATCTGCAACCTGCAAAACAAGAAAGTATGTAGTGAAAAACATATTATATATATATATATATATATATATATATATATATATATATATATATATATATATATAGGGAAGGGATCAGGTGCGGATAGGGTTTTCTGTGCGGTTGTGCGAAAGAACGCACCTTAGCTTAAACATTAAACTGGTGTAATTTTTAAGTACATAACACATGCACAATATTAAGCACATCAACAAAACACCTCAAGAACAGAAACCCAGGCACGTTAAGTACACAAACCTCACACACCTTAAGCAAAAATCTGACGTACCTACAAACCTCACGCACCTTAAGTTTCAACAATTACTCACATTATCTCAAAACTCACGCACCTTAAACAAAGGACTCACGCACCTTAAGTACAAAACGCACGCACCTTAAGCACAAAACTCACACACACAAAACTCATGCACCTTATGTTTCAACAACTACTCACGCACCTTAAACACAAGACTCACGCACATTAAGTACAAAACTCACGCACATTACTTATCGCACAACCGCACGGGAACTTAATTTTATATATATATATATATATATATATATATATATATACCGAACAAGTGGGTGCACACAATCTAGTCTCCACAGTCATCCATACATGCTTGGGAGTAGATTGTGTGGACTCATACTTATTCGCAAGTTTTATTCTCAATCTTGAATCTTATATATATATGTGTATAGATGCAAGAATCCAACTACAAATATATATATACATATATATATATATATATATATATATATATATATATATATATATATATATGAAACAGTACGTAATTAATGCTTTGTATAACATACTTGGTCATTCATTCCCATCATCCATGAACTTATTAGTCCATTTCCAACTTCCCTTCAAACCAAAATTGCACACACAAACATATTTAATATATATTCCATCTATGTTAGTTTGATATAATTAATAAACACATAGAAAACAAGAACAAGGAGAAGATAATTAATAATAATAATAATTTACACGCATGATCCTTTAACTCTTAGCATGCCGCTAATTGTCAAAGTGTAATAAATACTTCCAACATCTTGACAAAACATTGAAACCCCTGCATGCCAAATTCAAAACTCAAACATATCACAACATATCCAAATACGTTAAGTTAATTGGAATTTTAATTTGTTTTATAATTATATATCGACACTCTTGAGTGAACATGCATGTATGAGGCTTCTATCCCACCCATACGTTTTAATTTACCTGAAAATAAATATATATACTCCGATCCATTCCCATATTTTGTGACTATTTCGATTAATGAAGCTTTGACGGAAGTAATTTTAAATTCAACTTTTCATAATATTAAGTTTAATATTATTCCGTAGTATATAAAATTTTCATATTTAGAAACTACTCATGAAGTATTATAAAACACGAAAATTTAAAATTAAAAATAACTAAAAACTAATAAAGAAATAAGTCAGAAAGAAAAAAATTGATTTGATCAATAAATAATAAACAAGACAAATAAAGTGAATTAACTATATATATGACTAATAAATAGTAAACAGGACAGAGAAAATGAGACAGGATATATATATATATATATATATATATATATATATATATATATATATATATATATATATATATATATTATCACACTAATAAACGACTTGACTTACCATGGAGAACGATAAAAGCTGTAGAAGATGAGAGTGGAATGGAAGAGAAGATGGCAAGAAGAACAATAAAAGTAGTTGAGAATGAGAAACACGAAGCCATGATTTTCATGAAGAAGCTAATTAAGATAGATTAAACAAGCTAGCTATACTAGCTTCTCTCTGTGAATTCATGAACAACAGCTGCAGGGGAGAATATATATAGGGGATAAAATGAGAATAAGTTTTTAGGAGAGAAATAAGAATCAATCTTAATTAATTTTACATCTAGAAAAAAAGACAGATCAGATCAATTTTTTTTAAATGCGGTGACACTTTCATAATTATAACTAAGGGTGTGTTTGGTTCGCACATAGGAATCAGAATTGGAATGAGTATCAAATACTTGTAATGGTAATGGGTTTTGGTGAAAGTATTTAACATGTTTGGTAGTAGGGTGGAATGAGAATGATTATTAATAGTAGTGTTTGACAATGAATAAAGGAATGAAATCCTTATTTTATTTGAGTATGAGTTTTTCAATTGATGGGGTATTCGAAACCCATAGTAGTGTTCTAAAAACCTATCAACCAAACAACAACAATCACTTTCATACCCATTCCTAGGGTCAAAACCCACCAACCAAACACAACCTAACTTTATTATGCAAACTTGAAAACTAAAATCGTTTGCACATTTTGTATTAATATTTTGCATATTTAGTATTAAAAGATTACACTAAAATGTGAAAGTGCATTACACTAGGGTTTCGATTTTAGAGTTTTCCGAGTTTTTGATTTTATTTGGTTTAGTGATTAACTTTTTACTACTTAAGATCTAACATTTACGGTTTAGATTTAAAATTTAACTTTTCCGTTGATTTTATAAAATTTACCAGGTTTGCATAGTGGAGTTGGTCAAGTTTGCATAGTGAAGTTAGTTATAATTACAAAAATGTCACTGCATTTTAAAAAATATATATATGATCAAATTCATTCAATTTTTACAGATGTAAGACTGGAATTAGTTCTTATTTCTCTCCTATGATCTTGTTCTCACGGAATCATTAACATATATATATATATATATATATATATATATATATATATATATATATATATATATGAATATCTTATGGTACAACGAAAGTACAATACTGATATAATACGTAAATAAAATAAAATTTTGTTTGTTTGTTTGTTTGTTTTTTTCTCTTCAAAGACGTACTGTCATAGTAAGTAGTGTAATAGGAGGGGTGTTTCCCAGACAGAGCCCAGGTTTGACGCTCATGTTCAATGCATGCACCAACAGATCGATTAGTTATTATTATTTATTTATTTATTTATTTAATTTTTTCAATGCTACTGACTCTATTACATTGTAGTATCTATTCAAACATACTTTTTTCAACCTAATGAAGCACAAAAGAGTCAATAACGCTTCCACGGATAATTAATAAAAATGGTCTAATTTAAATAGAAAATGTGATTTTGAAAATATTAACATAAACTTTGTAGCATAACATCCGTACATATTGTACAATTGAAAGACTGTAATTTCTTGATTGCATTTTGAAAGATCTAGATGTATCTGAAAGTAGTGATAAAAAAATATTTATGCAATGTTTTTGAAATATGAAACCTCGTTATACATGATTGTAAGTAGGGACGGAGCCAGGAATTTTGTCGGGGATGAAATAGGGACGGGTTCAGAAATTTTTTTCGGTAAAGGCGAAACATTAAAATAAAAGATATGTTTTGAAAATAAATAAATAAATTATCTAAGATATATATGTGTAAATATTATTGGATATGAGCGAAAAATAAAACACATCGAAACTTTATAAAAATATTCATAACAAAATATGAAACATAATTAATTTGATAAAATAATTTGAATATATATGTATGTATGTGTGTGTATTAAATATTAAAAAAGCTATAAAAACGTGACTGTGTTAAAGTCATAGGGGAGGAGCCAAAAAAACTGTAAAACCATATTGACAACCAAAAAGTTCAAACCCCCTAACCTTTCTTATAACCAAACATATGCTCTACCAACTAATCTAGCTTATTTCTTATTGACAATCAGCAATTTTTATATACTAATACTCAAACATGTACTATATATACATATATACATTCAAAGGTTATATATAGGGTGGTGGTGGGGCGAGGGGGGCAGCTGACCCCCCCCCCCCCTTCCCTTTGGCTCCGTCCATGATTGTAAGATACTCCATATGAAAACACAATCATTATTACGTTGGCTGTTATCGATCCACACAGCCGTGTGAACTATGGTGTAAAAACACATAAAGTAAATTATTCTGACTTATAAAATATATTATTATATTCTAAAACAATAAGTATATTATTCTAACTCATAAAATAAATTTTTATATTTTAACAGTAAAGTACATTATTTTAACTCATGAAATACAATATCTTATCCCAAAATAATTTCATTACTTTGACACATAAAATACATTATATATTGTTCTAACTCATAAAATACAATATTCTAACACATAAAGTATATTAATTAATTCAAAAGATACATTATCTTACTTCAGAAATTTAATTATTCTAACACATAAAGTACATTATTCTAACTCATAAAATATTTTCTTAACCCAAAATATTCATTAATCTAACACGCTTGCATAGCAAAGATTTTTTTTTTTTGTTTTTGTTTGCACAGCTGTGTGGACCACGGATCGCACAATAATTTGCCATGTAAACACCATTGGGTTATTCATCTTTAAATATATACTAGGAGTGAGCAAAATAATCGAACCGTTCAAATTTTTTGGTTATTAGTTCGGTTTCAATTATATAGTTAAAAAAACCGATTATTTAAAATTCTTTTGTCAGTTATCAATTTTCTTCAAAAAATCAATATCCAACCGAAAAACTGATTATTAATTATATAAAAAAAATGAGGTCTACTATCCAAACTAAGTCCAATAAATAATTGATTATTTAAGCCCATTTGACATATGTTATATTCATTGATAGGTCCACCATATCTTAACCCAATAGTTATGCTGTGGAACCGTGTCTACCATGTGCATGGTAAACATAGGATAAATCCATAATTTATAAGTTTTAGATTCATAATTTTTATACTGTAGATTTATTAATTTCTAGATTCATAATATCTATACTGTAGATTCATAACATCTATACTTTAGATTTATAATTTCTAGATTCATAATTTCTATACTGTAGATTCATAATATCTGTACTGCGAAGATGAAATAATGCGATTGCGAAGAGAGAAACGTCGTTAACAACAAATGAAAAACAAAATTATGAATCTACAACATAGAAATTATGGATCTACCTTTGTATTTACCATGCGCATGATGAACATGTTTCCATAGCATAATTTGCGCACTTAACCCTAAGAATTTATCTCACTCTTTGACTCCATTACCCTCAATTACTAAATTATGAAAGGAATGAGTAGAAATTGTCTAGAGTTCAACCATTGATCAAAACCCAGTAAAAATGGGTGAAAACGGTGTTGCTGGAAATTGTAAATTCGGGGGTTTCGACGCATCGAGTGTCACTCAGATTCGGGGTCTCACTCTCGATGCGTTGACCATTTACATAATGAAAAAACGCATTGACCATTTACATAATGAAAACCACGCGGATTTGCCGCCATTGAGCTTTGGCCAGGTTCAAAAGTGATATCCTTAATAGGGGTAACGCCGCACTGCTCACGGTGGCCGTACATGCTGCATTTGAAGCATACTGAGGGTGTGTTTGGTTCGCACATAGGAATCGGAATCGGAATGGGTATCAAATACTTGTAATGGTAATGGGTTTTGATGAAAGTATTTAACATGTTTGGTAGTAGGGTGGAATGAGAATGGTTACTAATAGTAGTGCTTGAAAATGAATAAAGGAATGAAACCCTTATTGTATTTGGGTATGAGTTTTCCAATTGATGGGGTATTCGAAACCCATAGTAGTGTTCTAAAAACCTATCAACCAAACAACAACAATCACTTTCATACCCATTCCTATGGGCAAAACCCACCAACCAAACACACCCTAAGTGAGTTCGACACCAGGGTCTCCTTAGTCGTTCTTTCTCCTCTTTCAAAAATCTTGATCAGCGGGCATCCACGTCACTGTCATCTCCGGCCTCGTCCATCTCCTCATCGTCAGAAATCACCTCTTCTTGCGTCGCCTTGACTTGAGGTCGCGCTATTCTGATGTCTCTTAACGGTTGCCTGTAGGTGGCGATCGGCGGAGTAAGGAATTCCGGCTAATGTCTCTTTGCGATAATTTGTCATAGTTGAGTGTTATACATGACTGTAAGAGAGTGGAGACAATCGTTATACCCTGCACCACGGTGCACATAGCACTGTGCGTCCTGCGCCTCTCAAAACGACGTCGTTTTGTTAAGTTGTGTAGGAAGTTGACGCGATTATGTACATTATGGTTTACAATTATGTACATTTTTTTTATACAATTATGTACATCCGAAACAGGAAATTTATGTATATTATATTAAAAGTTTATGTGTATTATGTATTATGTTAGATTATATGTATTATCTTTTCAAAAAAGAGTATGTGTATTGGTAGGGAATATCCCGACCGACATAGCTTCACCACGACCGAGAAGCCTTTGTCTTTTTCTCTTTGTCTTTGCAGGTAGCAGGTCGGGCTCCTTGTGAAGAACCCGGTCGGGAGCCGACCGGGAGTTGCCCGAGCGACGGTGTCGACCGCCGAGCGGTAGCCCTTTGGCAAGAGAGCTGACGAAAGACACGTGGCGACTCTCTACGACGACAGACAGGGCACCCGGGAGGATGACACGTGGTGGCTACGTGGAGGGCATGCCGAACGGCTGGAATCCTGTCCCCGTCATAGCGGCTATAAATACCCACAGTAGCTACAGTGTAGGGGACTTTTGGACGATCGATAGGTTGTTGTTAGAGAATCCCGACCGCAGTCAGTCGGTACTCAGAGCAACCAAGTAGATTGTACTTAGGGCCTTTACCGTGATCAATAAAGACATTTACTTGCTTTATTCGGTCTCGGGTTATTCCATATTGCTTACGTATAATTAGCAGTATCATGTTGGCGCCGTCTGTGGGGACCCGTTCAAGAAACCAACGTCTTGACGAGCACCCGGTCTCTATATCAACATGTATCCGTGGGCACACAACAACTTTGCCGAC